TTTGAGACAGAGTCTTAGTCTGTTACCCAGAGTGCTGTAGCATTATAGCTCACAGCAACCTCAAAATCTTGGGCTCAAGAGATCCTCTTGCCTTAGCCTGTGAAGTAGCTGGGACTACAGGTGTTTGCCATAATGCTTGGCTAGTTTTTCTTGTAGAGATGGGGGCCTCACTCTTGCTCAAGCTTAGTCTGAACCCCTGAGCTCAAGCAATCCACCTGCCTTGGCCTCCCAGAGTGCTAGGATTATAGGCATGAACCATCGTGCCCTACCCTTGAATAATTATTTTTTAGAAAGATCACTCTAGGCCAGGCATGGTGGCTCATGCCTGTAATCCTAGCACTCTGGCAGGCTGAGGCCAGGAGACCAGCCTAAGTAAGAGAAGAACCTGTCTTAAAAAAAAAAAAAAGCACAGAGTTGTAGCAGGCACCTGTTACAGCCACCTGTTGTACTCAGGAGGGTGAGACAAGAGAATCACTTGAGCCCAAGTGTTTGAAGTTGCTGTGAGCTCTGATGACAAAGCACTCTACCAAGGGTGACAAAGTAAGACTGTGTCTAAAAAAAAAAAAATAAATAAATAAATAAAAGATCACTCTAGCTACTATATGGAAAATGGATTAGAGGATCCAGAAAGAGAACAGGGAGACAAGAAGTGGTTACAACAGTTTAGGTTCCAGAGGTGGAGATAACTGGGATGGAGTGGTAGAGAAGGAGATGTAAGATATACTTTGGAGGTAGAACTGATCTTTGAATTTTTCACAGAGGATATTAGGTTTTTATTTTGAACAACCAGGTTGTGCTAGGTATTATGCTGGAGGAGTTTGGGGGAAGGAAAAGGTTAGATCGATAAAAGCAAGAGCATCAGGTTGGATATATTTAAATCTGCTATGTCAATTAAGTCTCCAGGAGGAGATGTCTAATAAGAAGCTGGATATCTGAGAACTGAGCCTTAAAATATCTCAACATTTAGAGGTCCTACAAGAGAGGAGATGCAATGATTAGTGAGGCAAAAGGAAAATCATGTGTAGTGGCACAGAAGGCCAGTGAGAGAAGTTCTTCATGAAAGACAGGTACCACCTGGCTCGGCACCTGCAGCTCAGTGGTTAGGGCGCCAGCCACATGCACTGGGGCTGGTAGATACGAACTATCCCAGGCCTGCTAACCAACAACACAATAGCTGGGCATTGTGGCAGGTGCCTATAGTCCCAGCTACATGGGAGGCTAAGGCAAGAGAATTGCTTAAGCCCAAGAGTTTGAGGTTGCTGTGAGCTGTGATGCCACAGCATTCTATGAAGGATGACATAGTGAGACTATCTCAAAAAAAAAAAAAAAATACCACCTATGTTGAATGTTGCTAACAAGGCAGGGCTCAGTGGCTCACACCTGTAATCCTAGCACTTTGGGCGGCTGAGGGGGTCGATCACCTGAGCTCATGAGTTCGAGACCAGCCTGAGCTAGAATTAAAAAGTCAAATAGTGGACAATAGTGCCTGAAGCTCAAGCAGCTAGGGTGCCAGCCACATACACCGGAGCTGGTGGGTTCGAGCCCAGCCCAGGCCTGCCAAACAACAATGACAACTACAACCAAAATAATAATAATAATAATAATAAAGCTGGGCATTGTGGCGGGTGTCTGTAGTCCCAGCTGCTTGAGAGGCTGAGGTTAAGAGAATCGCTTAAGCCCAGGAGTTTGATGCTGCTGTGAGCTGTGATGCCACAGCACCTTACCAAGGGTGACAAAGTGAGACTCTGTCTCAAAGACAAAAAAGTCAAATAGGGACCAGGTGGGGTGGGCTCACACCTGTAATCCTAGCACTTGGGAGGCAGAGATGGGTGGGTTGCCTGAGCTCACAGTTCAAGACCAACCTGAGCCAGAGCAAGACCTCGTCTTTAAAAAAATAGCTGGGCACTGTGGTGGACGCCTGTAGTCCCAGCTACTTGGAACCCTGAGGCAAGAGAATCGCTTGAGCCCAAGAGTCTGAGGTTGCTGTGAGCTATGACTTCACAGCACTCTGAGGGTGACAAAGTGAGACTCTGTCTCAGAAAAGAATGTTGCCAACAGGTAAAAGGAGATTAGTATGAGTAAGTGTTTAGTGGATTTGGCGCATTAAGATCACCGGTATCTTTGGCAACAGTTTAGGAGGAAGGAATAATGGGCATGTTGGGATGGGACTAAGAGGAAATAGAGGTGAGGAAATGAAGATTGAGTGTAGACAACTAGTTTTAGAAATTTTGTTGGAAAGAACAAAGAAATGAAGATAGGACAAATGGAAAAGTTTGTTTTTAAGATGATGATGATCCAACAGAAGTATGATGATACAGCAAGGAAAAATCCTTGAGACGGCTTGGGGGATGAGGTCCACAGTACAGGTTTGCTCTTTAATAGGGGTAAAGACACACCTTTCCTGGCAACAGGAAGGAAGGTGGAAAAGATGAGGCAAATGTAAAAAGGCTGTGGCTTTCCAGTTGGATGAGAATGTTTGTCTCTGATGATTTTTATTTTCTCAAAGAAATATGAGGTCACTATGGAGGGGGCATCAGAGGAGAAAGTGTAAGGGTTTGAAGAGAGAAAGCATGAAATAAACTATCTCTAGAAGTGAGAAAGTGAATGTTACTAGGGAAGTGCAGTAAGCCTACCAGGCAAAGTCTGATGTCTTTTTGAGGTCTGTGGTCAAGAATTTCAAGTGAGTGGGGTGGGGTGGCTCATGCCTGTTATCCTAGCACTCTGGCAGGCTGAGGCAGGTGGATTGCTTGAGTTCAGGAGATTGAGACCAGCCTGAGCAAGAGAAAAACTAGTTGGGACAGGTGGTACATGCTTGTAGTCCCAGCTATTCAGGGAGACTGAGGCAAGAGGATCACTTGGGCCCAGGAGTTTGATTTGAGGTTGCTGTGAGCTCTGACTGCAATAGCACTCTAGCCTAAAAAAGAAAAAAAAAAAAAAGCCATTAACTGATGTTGTAGGAGGAATGGGAATGATGAATCAAAATTTCTGTGGACTTTAAGGAAGCTAGACATTTTGAACTACGGATGCTGCCAATTGGTGCCATTTAGATATTTCAACATTATAATTCTTTTTAAGTACCTTAATCTGTTCATATATATTTTTATTATTTTTTTGAGACAGAGTCTCACTTTGTCACCCTCGGTAGGGTGCGGTAACATCACAGCTCACAGCAACCTCAAACTCTTGGGCTCAAGTGATTCTCTTGCCTCAGCCTCCCGCAGTAGCTGGGACTACATGTGACTGCTACAAAGCCTGGCTATTTTTTTAGAGACGAGATGTCGCTTTGGCTCAGGCTGGTCTCAAATTCATGAGCTCAGGCAATCCACCCGCCTAGGCTTCCCAGAGCGCTAGAATTGCAGGCGTTAGCCACTGCGCCTGCCCTCTGTCTATATAATGTTGGGTGTCAGTGGAATTAAGAAAAATGCGATGGCTCAGGCCTGTAATGCCAGTACTCCAGGAGGCCGAGGTGGTGAATCACTTGAGTTCAGGAGTTGAAGACCAGCCTGAACAAGAGTAAGACCCCGGCTATCCTAAAAATAGAAATGTAGTACCTGCTACTTGGGAGGTTGAGACAATTAGATTCCTTGAGCCCAAGAGTTTGAGGTTGCTGTGAGCTGTGACACCATAGTGCTCTACTCAGGGCGACAGAGACTCCGTCTCAAAAAACAAAATTCCCGTGATTTGTGTTTGTAAATTAGAGCACACGCGCGCGTACACATACACATACACGAAATCAAGAGCTCTCCTATTCTTTAAACCAAGAGCCCACCCGTGTTTATTGAAAAGTTTATACTGCTACAACACACCAGTATTCCTAGGCGATTCCAAAATGAAATCAGTAAGACTGTGTGTTTGAAATCGGTGAGATTTTCTCTAATTTTATTGGCCCAGCACGAGGTACGGAAAATAGTAGACACTCCCTTTACGAATTTGAACTGGAAAAGAGATATTTTTCCAGGTAAGGATTTAAGTAGATTGCCCCTATGGGGAATCAAGAACGAAAAGAGGCCGGGAACGCTTTCCCCCAGGAACTGGCACCGGTCCGGTATTTGCTTTCAGGAGAAAACTGGTGGGGCATACTTATTCAAATTTCTCCCAGCAAATCATAGTGGCCTGCAGCTTACGCCTTCTCCGTTCATTGGCCAACTGGAAACTTCAACCCCTCCTTTGCCTCCCGCCCCTTATCCAGGAACCAACAGGAAAGATTAGCGGTTTGCAACCTAGTGTCATCAAGTACTGTAATTGCAATTGGCTACCGCAGCTGTCCATCGAGGAGTAGGCGGGGCCATACCCGCCGGTCTATATAAGAAGAGGACAAAGGCGGCGCGCTGCCTGTGTCATCCGCCATTTTGTGAGAAGCAAGGTGGCCTCTACGTTCCCTGAGCGTCTTCTTCGCTTCTGCCTAGACCGCCCCTTGACCACAGACATGTCTCGGGATCGGTTTCGGAGTCGCGGCGGCGGCGGTGGCGGC